AATAAGTACAGAGATAGCATTATTCTACACTCCCACTGCGACTGAACAACAAAAAGAACGCTGGCAGATAGCATTAGCTTTGGCCCTAGATCAAGAGGCCTGGCATTTAAGAAAGCTAAGAGACTGATCTTTATTTTCACAGGGTTAGCACAAGCTCATGCACTAACATCGGGCTATTATAGATGTAAGAGGTAGCTAGATCCCTTTGCTGAATTTATGCAGAGGAAGAATTACATCTCAGTATAATAAACATCTCTCTCCAGCAGCTTAACAATTTACCTTGCTATATGTACCATGGTGGCATTGAAACAGAGTATTTATTGAAGCAAAACCAGCTTCATCTTAGGCTTCACCTTCCATCCAACGCCTCCAAAGCATTTGATGAAAGAAAACAGATAGACTGTCAAGGTGTTTAAACTGAACCAAATTCTGTTCTCACAACAACATGCAAACTGCAGTCAAATCCACTTGACTCGGTGTCTTTGTAGCAGCAAAGCAGGTCATGGGAGACTATGTTTGCATTAAGCATATAACAGGGTTGCTGCACTCAGCAGTGCCTTACTGACTCAGTCTGTGCTAGCTGCCCTATAATTGCACACCTTTGAAACTACCCCTGCCTCCATGTTTGAAATACAGTAATCGTTCCTAATGCTGTTATTAGGGGAAATAAACTGACAACACAGAGAAAGCTCCCATCTGCTGCTTTTAAATCCATGTTCACTGTATCTCAGAAACCATGCTGCAGAATCAGAAAAACTTCAGAGAAAAGCAACATGCCAAAAGAACACTTTGGAGTAATTTCTATAGAGGCAACAGCTAGGCAAGCAGTCCCTGGCCAGGACTTCAGAGGGATGTGACAAAGGTCTATAAATATCTGTATCACTGACAGTGTCTAGAAATGTATTTGTTTGTTGTTTCTTCAAATAGAGTAAACATCTTACATCATATTAAGCCATCACAATGAAGGTTTAAAACAAGCAAAGGAGCTAGTTTTGCTGTTCAATGTATTGCTAAAGCTATGGAACTCCTTGCCAAAAGATGTTGCAGAGGCTACAGTATCACAGAGTTTCAAGCACAGACCGGATGAGTTCATGAAGAGATATGTGTTTAAGATGATACAAGGAAAATACAAGCTTTTCAGAAAGGTCCTTCCTTCCTTTCAACCATTAAGTTGAACCAGTGGTTGAAGCACTGGGAGACTGCTAGGAAGAAACATGGTGATCTTTGCCCTGATCTGCTACTTCTCCCTAATCATGTTTTTGACCACTGTCAGAAGGGACGTTGAGCCTATGATCCCTGTTACTCGTGGAAGAGATACTTCATGAAAGCCACATGGATATGATCTATCAGAGATATTCAGGCCCTTCTCTTTTTTTCAAATTAGGTCTTGGTTTTGCCATTTTCATTAACATCTAGGCACTGGAAGAAGGAGTGAGCTTTGAAAACATGCAGAATACACCAAAGATTTACTATTTAGGTATTACAGAATTTACCACCTCATCTCCTAGCATATAATTTCAGAACACAGCTGCACATACTTGTGTCCCAAGGAATATAAATTTCCCATGGTTATGACATTTGGAAGTCAGGAATGCGGACCCAGGATGCACAAGTTCTCTGTATCTACTCCAGTCTGCTCAGAGAGGCCACACACATTTGGCAGAAATCAACAAGCACCTATCCTAGCAAGTCAGGACACAGTGAAGGCTGTTTTAATTAGCTTACCCTTACCCATGATCAAAGATGTCCAAATCTTTCCCAAAGGTTTGCATAATATATGATGGCATTTTCAAAATTAATATAGTTTTAAAGAGTAATAAAGAAATATAGATCCTATCCCAACTAAACCATGTAGCAGTTCTTTGGCATGCCTAAACTCATACCCATCTGCTAGAAAAGCACTTTGGCCGTTCAGCAAGGTGAAACCACCAAAAGCCCAATGATAGACTGTCAAATGCAAATAGCCAGTTTCCAAAGACATACCTCCTGATGGCAAACACCAACTAATTGGGCTGTACAAGCCATTCAAAAAACATCCTACCTATTCACATCTGTTGGCAAGATGAAGACTTAAATCATATTTCTGCAAGTATTCTTCTTAGCATAAAGGGGTTTTGGCATTCTATTTAGCACCCAAATAATGACCTACAGTTGTTTAAAAACCAAAACAACCAACCAACCAAAACTGGCTATTCACTTCTAAGAATGAGTTACAGGACCAGGAAAGTCAGGGAAATCACTGAAAACCAGCAACTCTTGGTAATTTTAATTTACTGGAAAAAAAAAAATCTTTTTAAGATGTATATTAAGGTTTTGTCATAATAATATCAAGGCAAGTTCTACATTTATTTGTATATACATTTCTATGGAAGGCAGTGGGCTGGATCTTCCAGCATCTCAAACACAAGTCATTGCAAAGATGAATTTTTCCATTAGACAACAGTAAAAAGAATAATCAAGTCCAACATCTGCTTTACATAGCATAAGTTACCACCAAATAATTCATATTAGCTGTGTGCTTATCTGTGCTAATATTCACATTCTAAAGATTAAGAGCCAGAAATATAGAATGAATAACAAATAATTTTGCATGTTCAAATCTTCAGCCTAATCTTTTACAGGTAAGTGTCTTCAGGTATTGAAAGTCAGTATCCCTGGCACGGCTTCTGGGGAGAAGAAAACCCTGGCCTCTACCTCTGTAGAAAGGAAGACCTCTCCATTCTGTCCCTGGAAACCAATACATCTATTCTGAAATGAATTTAAGAGGAGTTCAATTCATTTGACAGAACCAATTAAAAATGTGTAATTATTACATATGTTATTCTTTGTAATAATCATTGTAGTAAAACAGAGATTAATGGAGAAATAGCGCACAAATATCTGAACGTGCTGTGTCTATTTTTATGAAAATTCTATTAAGAAAATTTGCCTCAAAATGGCTAGAACTCGCTGATTTTTACCAAAACATTTACCTTTGTCAGGATTTCCTATTTACTAGTTTTGTCCACGAAGTCTCAGTCAACATATTTACAATCTCTGTGATTTTTTAATGTAACTGTTAACAGAATAAATTCACTTAGGAGCTAAATCTGCATGTTTGCTCTTAGAATGCACGGTGAGCCATAGTGAAGGTTGTTTTGCTAACCCTTTCTGGAAAGCTTTGCCTTGGATACAGCCCACAGGTTAGTGAAAGGTAGTGTGCTGTCCTAGTTAAATCAACTCCATACCTAGATAAAGGCAATCATGCTACAATATAGAAGAAAGCAACCTTTTTATTTTCTGTCAATTGGAATATATTAAGGGAAACCTAAAAATCACAGAACACAAGTTGCAGCTGTAAAGCCAATCAATATGTCATTGAATTCATACGTTTTGGGAAGTCAATCAGAAACAAAATACAAAAACCTGCACCAAGACCCCCTGTGCATAAAGCATTCAACTAAAGAAAACAAAGAGACTGGGAAACTCCGCAGAAGTAACTGTCTGTGTCACAGCAATTAAATCTTTCTCACAGGCCTCATACGTACATTATGATGAAAACCAAGCACCTACAAGTAGAATTTATAGCTCTGTTCAGTGATTAACCCTTTAAAGCTTCAGAAGAGGTAAGTTTAGGTGAACAACACTTCGAGTTCATTTCAAACACAAGATCAATAGGAAACCGTTAGTCTGTCATTAGAAACATACTGGCAAAAAACTAAACCATGATTTCTCAGTCTTCTTTATCCTGGACTTATTTAGCAGACTGCCCAAGAACAATGTTAATTCCATTTCACTGACAAAGGAAAAGATTCTACTGAAAATAGAGAAATGAAAGTGGGTATCTTTACAGTACGTTCAAAAAATAGGGTACACAGAATCTTCAGCTGCTGCACAAACACAACAGATCTCTTTTATTTATATATATATATATACACACACACACATATAGATGCACAAATCTGATTCTTTTTGTATTTTTCCCTGAAGCGAGCTTAAATCTTTCACCTAAAATTTTCTATTGAAGGAGAAAAACAATGTAATATTTTAAAAGTAATTCCGTGCAGTGCTTTTGGAAGCACACTGCAACAAAGATAAAGGACTCTTCCCTCCCACCCTACGTGAGCAGAAGAGGAGCTTAAGAGAATTTCACTGGAGGTAGCAAAATCCTGACATAACAAATTCAATTGAAATTAGCAGTACATTCATCTTTCTGTCATAATTTCACTTGGGACAGTCACAGTCTGCTTCCTGTACACTTCCCAGTGCATACACAGAGTTCCAGAAGGATGGGAAGGCAAGGCAACAGCAGCGCAGAACAATGTACTTTCACAGCAGGAAAGAAGCTGCCTTCACAACGCAGCATTTCCACCACCTGCTCCCTAGAGACACCAGAAAGCAAATTCTTTCTACTTGATGCAAGACAGCTACTATTAATGCTACAATAATCATGTACAAAAGGATATCTAGAACCTTTACTTACATTGTAGAACTCAGTAAAACTTTTGGCTGGCAACATTATCTAATCCTCTAAATCTTACTAAGGTATTAAAGCACTGATAGGTGATGAAGTGATATCCTTCCTGAAATCCCATATGTTAAGATTACATTGGGCAACGATTTTTCAATTAATTTGAAAAAGTCTAAAAGTAATCATTCTCACTGTCAATACCAAACAATTTCCATTATTTTATACCAAGCTCATTATTGTAGGTGAAGAGTGAACGTTCCAATTCACAGTTGCAGACTTTAGTATTGCTTGCTTTCCATTTTTTATTCTTATTGAAATTCATATATATTCATTGAGATTTCCATGGTGATTCTCGAGTGTTTTTCATTTATGAAGATCCCTCTTCCCAAGAAATTGCACTGGTCACAGGTGAACAGTTAGCTCTCAGAAAGTCCTCCCAAACTTTTCTGACTACCTAACCTGTATTTTTATGTAATGTGCACATACACCTCTAAATATCCATTTTTTTTTTCTTGTTTGTGAAAGCCAGAACACTCTTCCCTAACAGCCATAAGCTTGCATAAAAAATATGAGACCTCTGCCACACAACTGGGCATTTATTTTTGCATTTCTTAATCGATTGGTTGTTATGGAGTCTATTTCATGACACCAGTTTAGATCCCACACCCACGGCTATGTAGTTTCCTTGGTATCTTACTGTAAAGCACTTTCTTACACCAATTTACCTACCATTTTGTTGACAAGAAATTATGGAATGCTAGAAGCGAGGCAAGATGCCATTCTACAATAATAATCTTTAAGAGGTCTTGCATATCTGAAACATTTCTCTTAAGTACTTTCAAAAGTGTCCTTCCATTTATGAGAGAAAAAAATAAATTCAAAAATGCATGCTCAAAGCCTTATTATTTAGACTTAGAAACACTGAAAAAGATAAAATAAAGAATATAAAATAAATATTCGAATTTCATTCACAAATATGCTGTATCCTCTTTTATTCCCATGGATAGCAGTTCCTACTAACTGCAATAATAGCAGTAAGATTCATATATATGTGGTGAACCCACTATTCAGAAAGACAATAAACAGTGAATTCCAGTTCTGTAAACACACCTTATTAAAAATGTTTATTGTATTCAGCATCAGAATTATGACTGATGTCAATGTAAATAAATGTAAATGCAATGCCCAAAGACTCGAATTAGCAACTGTTTTTTGTTTGCGATACATGTATTTCATCCAGTACATTCCTGATGCTTTCTACACAAACCTCTTCCTTCTGGTATTTCATACAGGCTTGCTTCCATATCTCTTCAAACCTTTCATCTGAAATGTTCACACCAATGTTGCGGAGGATTTGTGCAATCTACAAAATAATTCATGTAATTCTGGTCAGCATTTTCTGTAAACTATATAGAGTCTGGCTTTTACATGTGTTAGCAATCTCTATTTGCCGAAGAGTATTTCCCACTCCTAAATAAAAACTACAGACCACATCCTGCATCCTGAACCAAAGAAGTTCCTATCTAAATAAATCTGAATCTTACTGGGATGAAAGCTGTGGTGTACAAAATTGTCTTTAGTTAATAAAGTGATGTTGATGCAACTTCAACATTGGAAAAATCAAACACAGAAAACTCAGGGAAAAGTAAATGTTTTTTAAAAGCCCTAAGTCAAGTCCTGTTTATCCATTGTATTTTTACTGTTTGCAGTTCCCGGCATAAATCAGATTATATTGTTGTCTGCGTTTCACAGCAAGAATAATATATGCAAGATTTTCAATTGGTACTGATAAATAGGTGAAGTGACTAAAATGAAATGGTTCACATCAACTTTGGGTCTTACTATAGTTTTACTCTACAGTAATTCTGAAGAGTATTTTTTTTTCTCCATATATTCTCACTCACATGCTTCCTACTGCATGCCTCATTAAACTGACTTGTTGACTCAGAGGAAGGTGGCTTTAGAAGAATATTGACATGACTTGGGCTTTTGTTAGTATTAGCAAACATTTGACTTCTTCAGTTGTATTGTGTGTTTGAGCATGTGTGTTATGTTTATGGTCAGGAGATTTTATGTATGCTTCGAAAAAGTAAGACCTTTAACACAGTCAAATCAACCTTGTTTGTCATCTTTCTCTAAAACTGTCTTTTGTGTAAATATAGGCCTGATCCACAGTATAGCAAATCTGCAGCTTCTTCTTAGCCAATAAATCTATGCCAGTTTATGCCAGCTGAAATTAAAGGAGGAAAACATGGACTAAATTTTGTTTCTTTAAGCACAGGCGTTGTTTCAGGTAAATCAATAATATTACTCATGAAGAAAGCAAACCAGATTTGATCTAATGTCTTCAACAAGCTAGTGACATTTAAGTTAAACTAAAAGCAATATTCCATTACAGGATACCACTGCAGGGACCATAAAGGACTACATGCTCTCATAACTACGTTTCACCATATTAAAATACATCTCTGTCGTGGCTCATCAACAGCCATAAAATAATCACCAACTAAACCACAGTCTATTAAGTGTGCAGATGAGGTTAAACTGACCCTTACCTATCATCAACATGATCATGTTGAATATAAATTACACACTTACTCAGTTACATAACTTCTATTCTCTTCAATGGACTAGGACAAATTCCAGTGAAGAAAATAGCAAGCCTTAGAACTATTTTTTCTTTTGTAACATGAAGTCACCTCATGAAACTGCTTTATAGTCAGAATTTGCATTCATTTCTACAAGCCTATACAAGAACTGCTAGTGTTAAATTACTCTGGGCTTTCATACGATAACTTCATTAGATATTACATGTTTGAAAATATTAATGTTCCATATCAAAATAAATCAAAGACCATCACTAAAACACTGAAACAGTCCATTTCATGAGTATAGGGTGATTTAACACACTTGGAGGTGGTTCTGTACTGAACTTTGTATAGTCTGTATAGTTTACAGTGAAGTATGACATCTCAGGCCACATTATAACTTCAGAGAAGAGTTCTATCTAGTGTTTGACAGGTATAATGGGCTTCTCAATGAAGCATGAATTCTATTTACTGTTAACTATATTCTGCATGCATGGATTTCCTGCTTCACAGATAAATTACAAAATGGTAAATGCTCATGTACACGACATTCTGACAAGCCGTTTTATGGATATGTATAGACCATGACAATACACCTTTTACATCCCCAGCCACTAATTAGCAACATTCTATTCTGCAAAATATATACTCAAGTTCCAGATCCATTTTCAAATTTGAATATTTAATGTATTGACTAGTAGAAAGGGAGAGGTTGTCAAGCCTTCTTTTTTCATTTTAGATTGGAATTTTACATTTTGTTAGAATTGTCTCATAAATGGTATTTCAGGTACTGAAGTTACCTCTTAATATTTTTTCACTAGAAAATGCATACAAATGTAGAAGCAAGAGACTAAACAATACTGAAGAAGGAGCAAAGTTGTTTTAGTATTTATGTGAGAGGAACTCTGGACTGTGAGATAAGAGAGTGGTAGCAGCCCCCAGAGATATCAGATAGAAAAATCATAGAGTCCCTAAGTAAGTCCCTACAGCCTCACATCCTATCTTTCTCTTCAGAAATATGAGATGGCACAGCATTGGTGTGTGACTCCCTATATCCTCCATCACTGTCCTTTGTAGATCTGACCCTATGACCCTGACTCAGCAGAGCACTTAAAAGGTATATTCAAGCAGGCTGCTGAATTTGCCATTAGCAAAATCTGCAAATTTGTTTGAGGCGAGACACCTTGAGTAAAGTTTTCCACTGAACATCCCTCTGTGATAGAAACTAGTTTTACACACCTGTAAAAATCTTCTTGGGGGGATTTTTAAGACACCTACTTATAGAATAACTTAGGTTGGAAGAGATCTCTGGAGATCATCCATCCAACCACATAATCAAAGCAGGGCTAACATTACCATTAAACCACGTTGCTTGGGATCTTGCTCAGAAATCTGAGTATGTCCAAGGATGGAAATTTCACCACTGCTCTGCTCTTCTCACATTGCAGAAAAGATGAGTCATAGAATCTTAAGCCCTAGATTAATTATCAACCCTCGTTCAACACAACATTTGAGCATGTGAGTAGCAACAATCTGACATACTTCCTTATATTACTTAATGAAGTTGGATCTCAATGAAATTAATACCTACCACCTTTGTAAATAATTTTGAATGTGAAAACTATATATTTTTCAGATAGTTGAATGGACATAAAGAAAGATGGTAATGTTGCAACAATTAATTTTACAACCTGTTTATTTCATAATATGCTTTTCTACTCCCACATGGCTAAAGGTACATTTATCTTGGAAGAATATTCTGAAGAAACACACTATACCTCTGCCTTTGGTCTTGTTTTAAAAAAGTCACTTTCATACACTCCCTTTTGACTGAAGACAGAAGGGAACAGTAATGCATAAGCATTGGCCTCATCACCATAATTAGTTCTGTCACTGATGCGGCGAATTCGAGGAGCAGGAATATCTGAACGAATAGTTGGAACACCACACACTGGATAACCTGCGGAAATCAATCAACACATAGCATGGAAAAGCTTGTATGCAAATATAGTGCCAGGGAGGATAAAACATTTTGTGTGAAATAAGAACATATTTGATACTTCATCTCACATAGGTTCAATAAGAAATTACATAATTTTATTCCTCATCTCTTTTTTCATATTTTTAGAATTCCTAGCTTCAGCTACATCATGAAGCATGACAACAGGAAATCTTGCAGTAATACACTAGTACTTATCCAGTACTTCCAGCTAAAAACATTTTTAGGTGATTCCAAGATGATGATGTTCTCCTAAAATTACTAGCATAATTTCTCAAAGACATCTAGATTAACTGTCACATTTTGAATGCATTAACCATGCCAAACATCCAAGCCATGCCAACTTCCAAGCCACAATCCTAAACAAATTTAGTTTAGATAAATTAATTCACTCTTGTACATTAGTAAAACCTGTAGCAATACTTTTTAAACTTCTTCCTGATTTTGTCTTAAATAATGCTCAGAAGTGAGAAGTACAGTCCACTATACTTACAGATTGTTGGGAGGTCACCTAGAACAGCATTATACTGAGAAGAAGTTGTTTGATAATTTGCAAATATATGATCTGTTGATCTTGTAAGCGGTTTTGGTGTCTTTTCTGAGCTTCCTGGTTCTTTTAACACAAGGTCTTCCTGCTTCAGCAGTGGCTCATCGTTTGTCTTTGTTTCTTCAGGCAGAACAGGAGCATCTATTTTTTTCCCTATAAACAAAAGTTATGGTACAGCCAGGAATCATTATCAGCAGATTATAGACAAAGAGATAAAAAACATTGCTTAAATCCTTGAAAAACTATAAAGCAGACAACGTAAAATAATTAATCTGCATATCTGATAATGATTCTATGAGATTTTTTTACTTTCTCCTGATTTGTGGGACACACTCCAGGGTTCTGAAATACATTTGTATCTGAGGCTCTGCTGGTGGCACGCAAGGATGAAGTGCACTCTCTAAATCCTACGCTTCTAAAGGAGCACCTAGTCAACACCAGCAATGTCCTTTCAGTAGCTGTTGTAAGAGCAAGATCATCTCCACAATTTCCCACTATGAAGTCACCTACCTTTGGTGATTATTTTTTCTTCAAACTCTTTAACAGCCATTTTGTCTTTCCAGTTCAGAAAGTTTGCAAACTCCACATAATTAATCAGACCATCTTTATCCAAATCACAGCAGTCAAACAAGGAATCCAGGAGCTCGTCATCTAGATTCAGATGAAGCTGAAAACAGGACTTTCGCAGGTTGTCCTTGTGTATCATTCCATCACCATTCTATTATAATAAAATAAAAGTTGTTATAACAGCCATTATAAAAAGGTTCCACCAAAAGCAACACACACACATGTGTATATATAGAGAGATAGAGTGCCAGCCACACCATTTCATAATAGTAACATTGCTGAGTACAAAAAGAAGCCCCGAGTAATTTAGAAATTAAAAATCTGAACATAAAAGTGCCAATAAACAATTTTCAACTGAAGTAATACAGTAATTTGAGATTAAAGGAAAGTCAGTGTGACAGGGTATTGTGACAAGATAACAATCTAATCATAAATGTTGAGGCAAAGCCAAGATTTCTTCTGAAAGTAAGGCATCAATCACTCTGTATACGTTACAATTAATGTTACATATGAAATGTCAATTATGAGTTTTTTTCCAGAGAGAAAAAAAGAAAAGATATGAAATTCTGATGCTTGGTGACTCAGTCAAAAAGTACAGCTTGGAAGAAAATATTAACATAATCCCTTCAACTGAACTTTTTTTAAGAAGAAATACCAAATTTTGAAGAGCAAGAAGTGTCAAAAGTATTACTGCTCACATGTCCCATGCTTGCTGTGAACTTGGATACTCCAAATACTGTTGTGAAAGACTCCACATACTGTTGTGTTTAATTCCATAGCGTATCACAGTATATTAAACATAAATAACTATGAAGTTACCTTGTCTTTATAGTCTTCAACTATATTTGCCTTGCTATGCTTGTGTTTCTTCATGTCTGTATCTCCATAGCACAGGAGCGCAAATGTCACACACTCCTTTACATTTATATTTTTTCAAAGCACTAACCTTATCATAATGCCTGAATGCTTCTAGTAACATGTCAAAATTCTCATAGTTAGCTTTCTTCAAACTTTGCCGAACTGCAGTCAAAACAGCTTTCTCTCTGTCTTTACCATGGAGGAATTCACATGGAACCCGGCAGTGAAGAAGATCACCAACTCCTATAAAAATAAACACTTCCTCAATTAGTTGCGCATATACAGAAACTGGCTCCTTCTGCTGTTCCTTATAGGACAAGCATACTTACACATTTAAAATATTTAACTTCATTATCCTATATAGTAAATCATGCATAAAAGCTTATGCAGAATTTGAACAAGCCTTCTCTGGTCTTGACTAATTAAATAATTTTGGGCCATTTACATTTTTTAGCTGCCTAACTATTCACTGTATTCCATAGTCATTAAACGTAATATTAAAACACCATTGATCCCAACATTGACTATTTGAGTTGACTAGTTTTCAAAATTTTGTCATAATGGAAATTAATAATTTTCTCTTTTCAATCTCTCTTTTTTTGTGTGTTTGTCTCTCTGCTACCATCAAAAGCTTCTTATTGTTCTTATTTATTGTTTGCTATTTTTACTTCTTTTACAGAAGTGCTGGAAAAATCATTGAGAGGAAAGACACATGACTGATTTAAATAGCCATTTTAACTTTGTCACTTAGATGTCAGTATGAGTTTTCTGCCATTTCCTATTTTGTTTACATTTAGATACAGAGGCTTTAAAAAAAATCCAACCACCCCCCTGCCCCCAACATCCCAAACCTAAAGTTTCTTAATTTATTCTCAAATTTTCCCTCCAAAAATGTAGTGTCACTGTTAAATTTTTGTACCTTGCCTCTAAGATTTTAGGAAAATTATATAATACATGGCTAGCAATATTGCCTCAGCATCGTTTCATCAACAACCGAAGATCTTATTCTGCCCCTGACCTTACCATATTCATCTGGACGGAGTAACATTCCAAATGTATGACCCGGAGGAACATTCAAAGTTTCTGCTATACTGTCAATAAGCACATTTCTTTGTTAATTGTCAAATAGTTTATTAACAGACAAAATAAACCCTATGATATTATTTTAAAAAAAAAAAGTGATCATCTGTTATATAATTAGGGATGATACACATAGTTCACCTAAAATTTGCTTATCAGTACTTTGCTTCAAAGTTGCCATTCCAGAAAACCATCCCTTTATAAACCCGTTTAGAACATTTGCTGTTCATAATGTAACACAACCAAATGTAAACATTAACTTTTTGAACATATATGCTCGTTAAAAAGAAAACCATTCTATGCTAAAGTATTTTTTTTTCTAAGACAATGACAGAAATAGGTGAGGAAAGTCCTTGTAACATACTAGTTAAATAACAGGATTATTTAGGACAAACTGAAATAATGTCTCCAAATACACTTATACTTTTTTTTTACACTTATACACAAATAGTTTTGGCTAAAGTGGAAAAATTGAATCACATCTCTCATGCTTTTTCATATGCAATTTTGTATCTACCAAAACCAGCAACCAACCCAATATCCACCTGGAAAACTTGGACCAGTTTTATTTACCAGAAAATAAAGATGCTGTTGGTGACATTAAAGAACTGCATTTATTTCTTATTTTGAAAAAGATGCAATGTTCTTTTTCTCTCTCTGTTTAATAATTAAAACTGTTACATTAACCAGAAATCTCCCATCAAAGTTGAAAAGAGAATCAGTGCTTTGCTCTAGAATACAAAACAAATTAACAAAAGAACCCACACAGAGATAGAAGCACTGTAATCTAAAAACTACTACGTGTATTTTTCATTTTCATATTATACATAGGATGTGGATGGTGTAAAATTCACTAAATAAAATTAGGTTAGCTTGTATCTGTCTTGTAATACTAGTGCTGGGTTTCAGCTTGCACTGCAACCCATATTCCCTGACTCATCATACTGACTTATATTGTTCACACTCCAGTCCTACTGCACGGTAAACTAGGACACAGTGAGGGAGAGACAGGAAACTGGCTCACATTTGTGTTCGCTCCCTACAGGTATTATGGGCATAGTTCTCCAGAGTCACTTAAGCCTGTGACCTTGAGCTTAAAATTATATTTTGCTACCAAAGTTAGTAATGTTGTTTGTGAGTCTTCAGAGGCAATTTTGCAGAAATCTCAAGCACCTGCAAAGACAGTCTTTGTATACGTTCAGGAACCCTAGATTTGTAGCACAGCTGGACCCTCACCACACTGTGCCTTAGGACTACTGTAGCTCTTCGTAAACACTGGTTTGTAAAATTAAAAAACTGTTCCAGATCACCTGAGGTTTATGAAGCATTGTAACGATTCAACTGAGATTGATATATGCTGCTAGTTAGTAACACAATTTAGTTCCATGTCCTTTTCCAAGGAAGTAACAAAGTGAGAATACAGATGATGTAACAAAGATGACCAAAAGTAGTGTCAGAGTAAGTAAAATGGTCAAATCCCCAAACAATAGGTGAGACTTTTCAGTTCTTTCAAACCTTCCTAAGTGCAAAAGACAGGAAAAAAAGGAAGTGTTACAGTGTGCTTGCAATTTGCTTGGTGCAAATCTGATCAATTCAGATATAGGCCATTTAAACAGTAAGACTTAACTTCACCACACAGACACAATACAGCCTTCATTAGTAACCTGCATACTGATCAGCCTAACTAGGGCAAGCATAAAGTCCTTTTCTGTAATTGAGTGCTGCAGTGGAAGCATTGAGTGCACAGTTATAATTTTTACCCAAGACCGAAAAAGATACTGGAGCCTTGGCAAATGTGAGTGAATTTAGTTCTTAGAAGGTACCATTGCTTACTTACGGATCAAGGACTTTTCCAAGCTGAGGTTGAAATTTTTCCTTGAAATCATCGCTTCGTTTTGATACGATTTTTGCTGCTCTCTTCCTAAAAAATATTAAAATAATTCTCACACATATTTGTTTAGCAAAATTCAATATTTTCAGTAATATTAAGAACTATTATTATATATTAGAAGGAAACAGCCACTCCTCTGCAAGAACATCACAAAATCTTGCTATTTAAAATCAAAGATGTCTTTACATAATGCTAAAGACATGCTAACTGCTCCTATACTATGGTAGAACTGATTTGGATAAGCTATTCTGAAAATTACTCCTTGCATTTTCTGCTCAGTTCAATATAACTACGAATGAAATTGTGAGATGTAGAATTATCTTCAAATACAAGACTCTTCTTGAGAACTCACACCACTAATTAACTAGTTAAATCATTGCAACTTACAATTGCAGATCACAGAGCCAATTTAAGGATTTGGATACACTTCGCCCATCTTTAAAGTGAGGGGTTTCTTTTCCATAAACAAAAGACTTGCTGAAGTTTGGCGAGTCGTACTTCCTATTTATTGCTTCACCTGTAGAAAAAAGTAAGCATTTCAACCTGTATAAAACACTTCAGCAATAAGAATGTACTAAGTATCTTCATTCTTAAGACAAAACAATGAAGAAACAAAAGCAAATGACGAATTAACAATTCTGCTCCATTAAAGATAACTGATTTGCATTCCCATGTTTATTAAGTAGTTAGGAATAATCTCATTGTCAAAAGTGAAGATAAAAGGCAAAATAAAAAGCTGAAACTGCTTCAGTGAAAAAATAGTTGGATGTCCTTTAATGTCTGACTGAAGACAAGCCCAACAGAATTAACGGAAAAATACCAGGTAGCCTAAGTAGCGAGGGTCATGCAAACAAATAATTTTATAATGTCCATACCTGAGCAGACACGTGTACCATATAATTCACTATTTGTTAAAAAAAATGCTAAAAGGAAAAAAAATGGTTTTGAGGAGCTGCACTTTCAGATATACTCTTGCTATGTTGATTTCAATGGAAATTTTGCCACTGACTTCACTGCAAACAAGATCTTACCCTACTTGTTGATTAATCTATTCATCCAGTCTTGCCTATAAAATGACGTTTCACATACAAGAATATCACATAAGTACTCCATGTAAGTGAGCTGCAAGCACATGTTTCTTGTCACAGAAAAAAATGCCCTTATGTTTCTTCAAGCACTTTTCAATCACCTTTTGAAAAGAATGGCAATTAGAGCTTGCAAAAAATATTACTCACTGCATGCTTTCCAATAAGGGCTTCCTCTGGCTCTGTGGCACCATGGAATTGTTATGTTATTGTTAAGAATTGGGGCACATAGTTGACTTTTTTTTTCCTGTCTGTTTTTGGCTTGGCCTCTCCATGATCTTGTGGATGGAAGTTACAAAGGAGACAGAAACAACATTGAATAATTCCACTATAACACCTAATAAAGGTGGCGAAGAAGGAAAATAAAATTAGAAGTTTGGCCAATTTATAGCAATAGTATTTGTAGTAGAATTTCTCAATGAGAGAACACAGTACTATAATTTCACTTCTATGTAACTGCCTCCATGTAAAATTCACATTATTAGGACTGAAATACCTGTATTGCAGTTTCTTATATGTTTGGCCTACACCTACAAAACTGTTGGTACTAGGGCAATGGGCAGTTTTATAACACTTGTCTTATAGAGCAGCAATGTTAGTCTCTCAGCCTGTAGAAATGATGGAGCTAGGAAAAATAGAAGTGGCTGCAAAAGTAATACATGTACCTTATTTCAGAGTGTTATTATCACTCTGTTCCTGTGCAGACCTATGAGATTAAAAAATAACTGTCCCTGAGCAGACCACTTCACACAAGTACAGCCCCCAGCGGCTGAAGCAGTGGAGGCACAGCCCACTGGAAGAGCAGAGACAGAGGCTGTGGGACAGACTCACAGGCAGGACACTGTAGGCTGAGGAACCTCTATTCCAGAGAGCCAGGCAGCAGCCTGAAACTCCTTGTAACCAGAGCTTGATACTGAGCTCCCCATCAGAAAGGCCAGCTGCCCTTAAATTCTGTTTGGATCCTGATAAAAGAGAGGAACCAGAGGTGAAAGTACTGGAATGGGTTGGGCTCACAGACTGTGGCTTTAAGCCTGAGATTGCTCTAAATAGCATAAACAATGCCAAACTCAACAAGCAACCAGGGCATCTATGAGTTTCTAGTCTCCTGGAAATACTTTGCTTTACAAATAGCACCCAATACAAATCAGGCTTCCAACTCCTTCATTAAGTTCTTATACTGTCTAATACACCCACCACAAAGCGATCTACAGCTCTAGAAACATGTCATGCTCTCTCAGCTGCATGTATTTTTTTTCACATCATTACTTTTAAAAAGCATTTATATTATCTTAATACAGCAGTAAACAGTAATAGTTTACATCTCAAAAATAGTGTACAATATGTGTTGAAGACACAGAGAGTAACAATTACCTTTATTTATATTAGAACTTTTTATGCAGTTTCTTATCAGCCTTTGAACTTACCCACATAATAATCACTGTGTGACACAATGTACAGATCATGTCCTTCTCTGGATTCTTTATCCACTTCCTCAAAAGTTTTTGGTGGATTTATAAGCTCTCCAGCTGATATATCTGGAAAGTAAGGAATAAAGGTGTGGTTGGGAAAGGTAATGGAGACGGGTATTATGTTTGGTTGATTCTTAATTTTAAACAATAACTTGTTAGAGAAGATGCTAATACTGTGGAAGAATGATACTTCTTACCACATTTCTAGTCACTCTATAGGAATCTTACAGCATAATGACTAGGGAAAAAAAAAAAATCACAGAAAGTGAGATGAACGTAACTGTTGCAGGAGAGCTACATGGTCAACATGTATGTGATTTGCTCCAATCTATGGAGGAAAGATTCACAGGTTAAGGTAATATCTTTTATTAGACCTATTAGAATAGTTGGGAAAAGGAAAGTAAGTTGTCAGCTACCTAAACCATTCTCCAGGGAAATCTACAATTCAGATCTGGAACAGAGCCAAAAGCCCTACAAAAGCCCTACTAGTTACCAAATGTTCTCAGTCACTTGTTTCTCATAACTTTAAAATACCAGTGTATTTTTATACCTTTCAATAACTGTTATAATAACAACTTTTCTCTTAAGCTGGAATTGTTAGAAGCATAGAATATGTGCTAGATACTAAATTGCAGATTATCTTGTATTTAGAAGAAATATCTTTTAACACTAAATTTTCCTACCTTGAATTATTTTTGTTCCAAATGTAGTATTAATTATATCCAAGCCCTCAGGTAACATAGAAGAATAATCGTGTGATCTGCCCAAGGGTGCCTGACGATTACTTAAGTAGATCGCTTCTTTTTTGTGTTGTATTTTTTGTTGAAAATCAGTTTTAGGAAGTGGATTTACCAACGAAGCTACCTAAAAACATCAAAAACAACAGAAGAGGCAGGAAACCCAGCAAATTTTAATCATTCACACATCAGTATTACTACCCCTCACACACACATGAACAAAAGTTTGATCGTAAGTGTTCTAATGAGATCCTATATGATTACACTGTCATAATTTTACCTACCAAGTTGCAAAACAAAACTGTATTTTTGAGAAAAGACCACTAATAATTATTGCTGTGATAAATCTCCCGCTAAATAAAATACATACTGTGAGACAGAACATTTTCTTTTTATGCAAGTTCTTCCACTTGTTAATTTATAACATTTCAGACTGCATCCTTTCTGTTCTTAGCATATATTAGAAACTATAGTCAAATTATAAGAAGACCAAAACTTAAATGTGAAAATAATTATAGTTATATTTGGAGCAAGGTCTCCTGGTGCTTATGATTAAAAACACCTACAGTCTAGCGGTTAAGACTATCTATTCTCTAAACAGCTACTCCCAATTCTGCCAATGTAGAATTTAAGATAATGTTTCAAGATATACACTAATACTGCATCCTAAAATGACATACCAGCAGAAATTACTTCAGCAGGGTTTTCAAAGCTTAGCACTAGGTTGGACAATTTTTTTTTTCTCAGTGTACACATTCATCTCAGGTCAATAGAAGTTACTTCTAGAAGTAGAAGTAGAATTAGGTCGACTTCAAGGTGGAGAAAAAAAAATCTCAAAAAAAAGAGTTTCAGAAATGTCAAAACAGGATATTTTCATCTTTCCAAATAATTTGATTTTTCAGGCTATCCATCTAAGTAATGGGGACTCTAGAGAGGGTTTATTATTAGACTCCTATTGAATGTTATATAAAAAAATATTGAAAAAAGTGGTAGCAAATACAGTTGATCCAAACCCATGCTTAGAGAACTCACTAAGATTCCAACTCTTCCTCCAGTTAATATTTAATTAATAATGCAAAGTGAAAGAGTCTTAAACAGACAGTACAGGCTAAATAAATCAATCCATTCAACGTAAAATTTCTGAGGAGGGACACCAAGAACCTAATTTTTTTTCATTTCGGATATGCCTAATAAATGTCCTACTCAAAAACCTCTAATATCAGGACTTGGTGTTTCAACTTGAAGACCTATTTTTGAGACCTGAACTCCTCTTTGTGCCAGCTTTTTAATTTGTAAAACTGAAAACTATTTATTTACAAGCCCCGCTGATGAAATGCATCATAAAAGTGTATTTTACTAACACAACCGTTATTTTTAGAGATTTGAACAATAATTATGTGATAAAATCACCAATGATCTCTTCAGTTGTTTGACTGCAGATTACAAAAATCATTTCTGTGGTAAAGAATACATACAAAATAGCCTGACATATCCAAAACATCCCTTTTTAACTAACAAAATCAGTTTCAATCCAAAGGTAAGAAAGAATACATAATAATTACATTGAACTATAAGCACATTCTCAGATAGCAGTTCTCTTGGTAAGAGCTCAACAGGTTTTACCTCTGTAATCACTAGTGAAGAAAGCAGCAAAATTTTGGGGTAGAAGACTGTTCATTAACTTAAATGTTGAAATGAAATGAATAATTCAGCAGTCATTGCAAAAGTTAAGTCACTGATAAGATAACAGCCACTGAACTTCAAGTGGTTTCCTATTTCAATCATGCTAATTAAATCCTATGAATTGAGCTCAGAATTCAGATAATCCACAACAGCAGTGAAATGCTGCAGCGTAAATCACTCAGCAATGTACCTTCATCCCTGACTATGAAGAAATCAATTGCTCTTATTAAGGACATTCTTAAGCAGTCCATTCTTAAACAAAAGAAAATTAGTCACATTCTTACACTGAGTGAAGACCGTGACTCTATGCCGTGTGTCAAGTGAGCTGCAATGTCAGGATCATCTGCTCTGCCATAGAATATTCTTTCAACACCAGGAGCTGGGTTTGTTGTATTTCGAAACTTTCGCACAGTAGTTGGAGTAATGGGCTATATATAAGGCAAAGCAAAAATAATTTTACACCAGATATTCACAAAATATTAATGAAAAGAAAATGTACTGCAGCCATTTCAGTGTGATTTCACAGAAGTAAAAACAAAACATGAATACGTTTTAGGGCTGTAACACATGCATACGCTCCTGCAGATGCTGATATTCTGAGCATAAGGTCAACATAGCCCAGCTTAAATTTTATCAAACCAGCAACAGAAGTAACGAGACAGTTGCTAAGTTTCAACTATCTGGTTCCATCTTTAAGACGGGTAACAGCTTCTTCATGTATACTTCATGGAAAGTAGATGTTACACTTACCAACTTCAGAAACCTTTAACCTGATTCACAACAATTCCACCATCAATGAAGCAACTTCAGAAATTACGTTAACCACAGTTTTGGGGTATTTTAATTACCTATTCAGAGGGAGAGCTGCTATTTAAGGGATCCGTTTGTGTCTCAGTACCCTCTGAATCTTCAGGGGCATGGGGAAGGACCAATGGGAAGCACAATTCTGAGGGGCATCCTTGAAAAAGAAGAATCTCCATCAGAAGTAATAATACCTAGTAAGAATTGCTATAATTGTATTACCAGAGAGAAACTGTCTACAACGATTCTATGTAGTCCCATATAAGCAGGCATGGTGAATTTTATAAAATATGCAGAGTGAAAAAGAACCGGCAGAAGTGTTTTACAATCCTACCAGCTATTCTCTAGTATCCCACGTGACAAAAACTAACACTAGAAAAAAAAATTGTGGTTTCTAATGAGATGAGATGTAGAAGAAATATCCAAGGTTTTACTGGTTTTCTTTTTTTTTTCAGGTCCTGTCTCAAAGCACAATCACTAATGGGAAAATATTACAAAAGTTTGACAAGGAGCAACTGAAAAACCAACTCACCCGGGGTAAAACCTCAGTGAGGCAACTCGCAGCAGTATCGCCAGTGGGAAGCAACTTTCCAGCCTAAGCAATACAATCAAAAAATAAGGCATAACCAAACCCATTGCACTAATAAGCACAAGTAGTCAAATCGGGCCCTGACGCCTTGCATGAGATGTTGTCTAATTGTCCCCGTTTTGATA